AGTCTTACACATAGAAACCCAGTTAGCTACGTCATCACCCATGAGATAGAAAAGGTAAAATCAGACCAAACATGTGATTCACTATTCAACTTTCTTTACCCTCATTAACTATTTTCTGCTCTCTCATTTTTTTGCTTTTGGTGTATCTTACTAACCTGAACATTGGATGATGAGCCCCGAAATAACATCTTGATCATCAGATAGAATGCATTAATTTATAGGCAGAAAAAGGAGTAATTTTTGTTTCTTTAATTAATAATCATTATTCATACGTTCCATCAACATATAAGTTATTAACAAAATAATTTTCTTTTTAGTTTTTATTTGATCAATAGGAGTTTTAACAAATAATAAGTATTAGACCATAATTATCTTTTAATTGAATCAAAAGATATTTACTTAAGTTAGATAATGGGATGTTGACCACATAATATTTAACACCTTCCAAAATATATATATATATATATATATATATATGAAAGATCCACTTATACTAGTGTAACTTTTATATTTTTTTTGGATACTTGGATTAAAATTACTAAATTTAAAAATATTATTATGATTCAAATGAGTCATGGATTTAATTTGATCTAAAGATAAAAAAAAAAAAAGTGTAAGATTATACTAGTGCAAGTGGATCCTATTGGGAGTTTTAATGCAAAAACAAATTTCACATTGAGATCAAATACTAAATAAATCACAGCGAGAGGTAATATTTAATTTGGTTCTGCTCAATTGCCTACATCCAAGGATGAGAGAGAAAATTCACTATAAATGTATAGATTACAAAAAGTACAAAACACCATAACCAAACACTAATCTCTAGTCCCTGAAATAATTCTAGTTTCCATGCTCTCTAGTGTATAACTTATGGAATATCCTTTATTCTATGCAATTGGTGTTTTCCTAAACAAAATCTTTTTCACGTCCCTATAAACTTATCTCCCATATAGATCTCATAATTCTCTCTCATAATTCTAAAAATTAAGACTCACTTCATATTTATAAGGCTCCTTTACTTAGTTACTAAGAATTTCTATTTACTAAGAACTCTTACCCATTAAGAATTTTTATTCTTAAATAAACTTAATTACCAAGTAATTCTTTACCTAATAGAACTTCACTGGAATTCAAATAATTATCAATTAGAATTTAAGTCAATATCTAACAAATCTCCACTTTGACACAAATTCTATTGACCTTCAAGAAATCCCGACTAGACATGGTCGAATCAGTGTTGACTCCACCTGATTCAAATAATATGGTCAAAACTCATGTGCAGCCAAATCAACTTCACCTGGTTGACTTCACCTACAACTAATGCCTTGTTGCAACATTTTCTCATGCATGTCTTCGATCTCACAAACATAATTTGTAACAACAAATCCCCTTTCACAATCGATGTGGGATAACTTCAACAATCTCTCTTTTTCACACATCGGGCCATAGGGTAGAGCTTTTATACCCAGCTCACGAAGAGATGCTGGCAACAATTGATGTGGGATAACCTCAACAATCTCCCTTTTTCACACATCAGGCCATAAGGGAAAACTTCTATGCCTGGCTCATGAGAAGATGTTGGCAACAATCAATGTGGGTGTTGGGATTTTTAAAGCAAAAAAAAATTTCAGAGTGAGATCAATACAAAATAAATCACATGCAAGAGGCAATATTTAATGTGATTCGGCCCAATTGCCTACATCCACGGTTGAGAGAGAAAATTCACTATAAATATAGAGATTACAAAGAGTACAAAACACCATAAACAAACACTAATCTTGAGCTCCTGAAACAATACTAGTTTCTATGCTCCATAGTGTATAACCTGTGAAATATCCTATATTCCAAGCAACTGGTTTTTTTCCAAACAAACTCTTTTTCACATCCCTACAAATCTATCTCCCATATAGATATTTCATAAGTCTTTCTCATAATTTTAAAATTTAAAACTCACTTCACATTTATAAAGCTACATTACTTGATCACCAAAAACTCCTATTTACTAAGAACTCTTACCCATTAAAAATATTTATTCTTAAATAAACTTAATTACCAAGTAATTCTTTAACTAATAGAATTTCATTAGAATTCAAACTAATTCTCAAATAGAATTCGAGTCAAAATCCAACAAATCTCCACCTTGATACAAATTCTGCCACAGCAATGACCTTCAAGAAATCTCGATTACACATGGTCAAATTATTGTTGACTTCACCTTATTTAAATAAGATAGCCAATACTCATGTGTAGCCAAATCAACTTCAGTCGGTTGACTTCACCTACAACTAATGCCTTGTTGCAACATTTTCTCTTGCATATATTCAATCTCACGAACACAATCTGCAACAACAAATCCTTTTCTACAATCGATGTGGGATAACTTCAGCATATTCCTTTTATATATATATGTATATATATATTCTTTTTTAATATATAAAATTGATATACATGTGTGTTTAAATATATTTATATATAATAAGTATATGTTTATATTATAAATTTTTATGATTATATAAATTTATTCAAATAAATATAATGATAGAAATATCACTTTTAAGTTATATAATAAAATAATAAACTAAGTTTACTAAAGCTGATTTTGGGTTAAATTGGATTTTACCTAATTGAAAACTTGTCAATTTGCCATTCGCATAAGTTTATAAATTCTGAAAATTAAACCTTATCTTATAAGTATTCACTTTTTAAGAGAGGTGAATAAATCATTTGAGTAAAGCTCTATGTTTGTATTCATATAATAGATATATATATATATATTTCATTGTGCATGTAATTATAATTCATCATCATCTATGAAAATGGTAATAAGAAAGCTAATTAATAATAATTATGATTCACATTTATATTACACTAATATTATGAGTTTACTTGTCTCCTCAATTAATTCTTTGATGAAGTCAAGTCTTCTATGAGACTTGAGCGGTTTCAAGAATCATGAAACACAAAGCAAAGCAAGAAACATATTGAAGAGTCGAGTCTTCGTTGAGACTTGAGTGGCTTCATGAATCATGAGATACGTAAAGCAAAGCAAGAAACATCTGTGTTCGACGCAAAGACAAGAAAAGCATGTATGAATAATGAATTGAAGACTAATTCATTAGCACAATATCCCATTAATTGTTGTACTATGCAAAAGCAATCATTTTCTCCCTTTCATATATAAATATATATATATATGAGTGATTTCACATTTTTAATTTTTAGATATTATTAATATTAAGGTTCATTACAATTACAGAAATTATTCAAATTATATAATCATATCATATTCTTTTATTTTAATTTTTCACAAATTTTATTTATATTCCCTCCATCAAATTTTGATTTTCTCTATATGATTTTCGTGGTATTTAAGAAAATTACTAATTAAATTTTGGTGTATTTTACATTAAAAGCTTGAATTTATTATATAAAATTTATATTTTGAGGTTTTAAATATAAAAATGTAATTAAAAAATCAAAATGATTTTGGAATATACTCCTATAAAAAAGTAATAGCATTTTGTGTTGGAAAAACAAAGATGATAATTTTGAAATATCCAAGTAGGGACCAAATAGGGAATGATAGATGAAGAAAATGAGATAGTGAGAGTATAATTAATTACTAATTAGAAAATGAATTGAAAATAAGAAACAAATAACAAAAAATTAAAAACTTAGAAGTGATGATTGAAGACATTTGGAAAGATAAGTATAATTACGTAAAATTGATAATATATATTCTAATTAGGTATAGAAGTTGAAACTTATTATTTAATTTTGAATAATTAAAATTAAATAAAAAGAAAAGTTACTATTAATTTCTTGTGTAGCATGACAATGGGATTGAAACAAAAATTCACCAAATGAGGTCCTTTTTCTGACTTTGCCCGCAAAGAAAACCCATGCAAGATGAATTGAAGGTTAATTCATTAATAGAAAATCCCATTAATTTTGTTCTACGGAAACACAATCATGTTGTCCCTTTTATATTTGTAATGTTCTCGTTTGTAACTTTCACTTATTCATTAATATTAAGGTTCATTATCATAAAAAATAATATAGGTTAATATCTTTATTTGAAGTATTATAAAATATAAAATATGAATCTATATATTCTAAGTTCTTAGGATTCAAATCAATATTCTTTAACAATATTAAAAACAAAAATAATAAAAAGGACTATATATATATGATAAATTCAATATTAAATTATTAATATGTTGTTTTGAATTCTCAAAGATTAATATATGATAAACTCTATTATAGACCAATGAATAACGCATAGTATTATAAAGAAACAATTGTTACAATAATTATTCTTTTCTCTGAATGCTTATTTAGAAAAAAAAAATTGATAAATATGAGGAAGTTGATGGAGGGAACAAAATTGATAAATATGAAGAAGAAGAAGAAGAAGAAACAAGCTTATTAGTTAGAATTTTTTTAAAAAAAATTTTGTTCCATCTAATTTCATAATAACAGAGTTCAGTTGACTGATAAATCTTTACAAAATTTACTTCCCATTACACATTAAGGTTAGTGAAAGTTTTTACTATTATTTTACTATTTCTACTAGTCCCTTTAAACACGTACCACTATTACCTGACTTTGAGAAAGTTAATTTTTTATTTTTTTTTGTACAAATACATAATATGAAATAAAAGAGTGAGAATAAAAGAAAGAATATAGTGATAAAGATTAATTTACAAAAGCAAAACTATCAGCCTTATCATCATTGAAACCCATTATTCATTCTTTAAAATTCAAAATAGACAAGCATTAACCACATTTGTCTTCCATCTATTTTGATTCAACTCAAAAGTTCAAACTCGTACAAACATGTGGTTGGAAAAACACATTTGAACTTATCTCTTGAGATCAAAGGAGATATATAGCTACAATAACACTACGTAATATGAAGTACTTGTCTATAAATACCTGTATGCAAATCTCAAACTGCATAATCTTCCCTTCATTTTTTTATAGAAAGCCAACAAAACATGAAGAATCTTCATATCCTAACATCACTCATTTTTCCTACCCTATTTCTTTTCTCATGCTCTGTATCTCTTGTGCTATCTTTTTCCCCTCCTTATACTGATCTCCAAAACCAGTGCCTTGATGACCAAAAATCTGCTCTACTGCAACTGCACCACGATCTTTACCATGCCCCAAATTTTACTTTCTCATCCAAAGTTGAGCTTTGGGATCCCAACACTGATTGTTGCTCTTGGAAAGGAATTACATGTGATGCTTTGGGTCATGTGATTGGACTTGATCTTAGCTACAAAAACCTTTCAGGCAGCTTTCACTCCATTTTCAATCTCCATCATCTTCAACGCCTTAATCTTGCTGGAAACAATTTTCATGCCACTCTGTTTCAATATGAGTTTGACAGACTCCTAAATTTAACTGATCTCAACCTTTCAAACTCATGTTTCCTTGGCCAAATTCCAGCGGGGATTTCATACTTAACAAGGTTAGTCTCTCTTGATCTATCTAATCAAGATTCTTGCTATCAACAGCATAACCAAATTCTCCATCCATACGACGACTTCCTCCACTACTATCCACTGCCTTTTGACCTTCAATACTACTATCCACTGCCTTTTGACCTTCAACAACTTCTTAAACTAGAAAACCCAAACTTTAAGACATTGATCCAAAATTTAAGTTCTCTTACGGAGCTTTACTTGGATAGTGTGAACATTTCAACTCAAAGTACTAAATGGTGTGAAGCCACATCTACAGCACTTCCTAACCTGCATGTGTTAAGTTTGTCGAATTGTGGTTTGACAGGTCCATTTTGTTCTTCACTCTCAAGACTTCCTTCTCTTTCTAAACTTTTCCTTGGTGGGAATTCAATCTCTTATTTGCCTCCCAATTTCTTGAAAATTTTTTCTCGTTTGAATTCTCTCAGTTTAGCGAATTGTAATTTGAGTGGGCATTTTCCAACAGAAGTTTTCTTATTGCCAAAAATACAAAGCATTGACATTTCAGAAAATGACAATCTTGAAGGTCAGTTGCCAGAATTTTCATTAAACAATGCTTTACGAGTCTTAAAGATTTCTTCTACAAATTTCAGTGGAAAACTGCCAGAATCAATTGGTAATCTCAAGTTCTTGACAACTTTAGATCTCCATAGTTGTAAGTTCTTTGGACATATTCCATCATCAATTGCAAATCTTACTAACCTTGTGAAACTGGATCTATTCAATAACAATTTCAGTGGTTTTATCCCTAGATTTCATAGATCTGGAGTTCCAAATCTCTCATATCTTTGTTTGTCGATGAACCACCTCTCTGGCTCAATTCCTTCTTCTTTATTTACTCTCCCATCATTGCATACCCTGTTTCTTTTTGGAAATCAATTGATTGGTGAAATTGGTGAGTTCCCTAATGCATCTTCTTCATTGATTGAAGCACTGTATTTAGGCTACAATAGCTTTAGCTCCATGAAGCTTGAGATGTTCTTCCAACTCAAGAACTTAAGGGTTCTTGAGCTTTCCAATACGAGCTTATCAATTGAAAGCAACATCACAAGCCCTGCTTTTCCCCAATTAGAGGAGCTATACCTAAATTCATGCAACCTTACGGAATTTCCAGAATTTATCAAAACACAAGACAAGTTGGCTTTTCTAGGTCTTTCTAACAACCAAATCCATGGTTTTGTGCCTAATTGGTTATGGAAGACCACTCTTTTAGGGTTAGACCTTTCCTTCCATGCGATTGATTTTTCAAAAGAGTTTCCTTCTGGTGACGCAAACTCCTCATTTCCAATGTTTAGTATTTTGATTTTGCAATTCTGTAACCTAAGTATGTTTCCAGAGTTTTTAAAGAGTCAAAATAGTTTAGAATATCTTGACCTTTCAAATAACAAAATAAGTGGTGCAGTACCAAACTGGGTCTGGAAGAAAAGTTTGTGGAATCTAGATCTTTCTAACAATTCTCTCTCATCTTTGGACCAATTTTCACTAAACCAGTCTCTAACTTCTTCACATGGCTCTTTATCAAGACCTATTTGCAATTTGAGTCAACTTGAGATCTTTAATGCATCCTTTAACAAATTAAACGGGCCAATCCCAAGCTGCTTGGGCAATATCAGTTCTCTCAGCTCTTTGGATTTACAAAAAAATAATTTCAGCGGCAGCATACCAGATTTTGCAAAAGCAACCCAATTATATTGGCTTCAACTCAATGATAATAAATTGGAAGGGAAGTTGTCAAGGTCATTAGCCAATTGCACAATGCTCCAAGTTTTAAACCTTGGAAACAATACTCTGCATGACACATTCCCTTTGTGGTTGGGAAAATTGCCTGCGTTGATGGTCCTTGTATTGCAAGCAAATAGGTTTTATGGTCCAATTAAACATGTGAAAAATTGTTTTCAAGACTTGGATGTACTAGACATTGCTTTCAATAATTTTTCTGGTCAATTACCAATTGAATTCTTTCAAGCCCCTCAACTAAGGTCACTCAAAATTGGTGAGAATAAACTGGAAGGAAAGTTGCCGAGGTCATTAGCCTATTGCAGAAAGCTTGAAGTTTTGGATGTTGGAAAAAATATGATACAAGACACATTTCCTTTTTGGTTGGTGAAATTGCCTTCTTTAAAGGTTCTTGTACTAAGAGCAAATAGATTTTATGGTCCAATTAAAATTTCTGATGACGAAAATGCTTTCCCAGAATTACACATATTGGACCTTGCTTCCAATAACTTTTCAGGTGAGTTATCTGTTGGATTTTTTCAATCTTTGAAGGCCATGAAGTCGATGGCTGATGGCAACAAAGCCAAGCCAGATTACATTGGAGACAAGTACTACCAGGACTCTATGACAATTGTGAATAAAGGGTTTGAAATTTTTTACAAGAAAATCTTAACCATCTTTGCTTGTCTTGACCTTTCCAATAATAGTTTCCATGGGAGAATACCGGAGGAAATACAAAACCTCAAGTCACTCGAAGCCCTAAACTTCTCCTACAACAGCTTCCTTGGCCCAATCCCTTCAGCACTTGGAAACTTAACTGAGCTTGAGTCGTTGGACCTCTACCAGAACAACCTCTCAGGAAAGATTCCTCGACAGCTTGCAAGCCTAACTTTTCTTGAAGTATTGAATCTCTCTTACAACCAACTTGAGGGAATCATACCACAAAGCTACCAATTTAGTACATTTCCAAACGATTCTTACAAAGGGAACCCAAGATTGTGTGGGCCGCCTTTGACAAAGAAATGCAATGAAGTTGGTCCTGGAATGCAACCCCCTAAGGAAGATGAAGATTCATGGGTAGATGGTATATCTGTTTGGAAAATCGTATTGATTGGGTATGGATGTGGTTTGGTAATTGGGTTATCTATTGGATATACAGTGCTGAATGAGATGGGGAACAAATGGATGGATAGGTTTACATGGAATCAGAATCAAAAATGGAGAAGATCTTCTAGGTGACTCCATCAAAATTCAAGTTTCAAATTCATTTGGTAAGCATTCAAGAATACTTAATAACTCAAAAGTTTTCTTAGTGGTTCTTTCAGCTGTAGTTAATTGCCTAAACAAATAAAATTTTTTAAATACTCTCGTGCATTATAAGTGTGATATATATATATATATATATATAATTGCACTAATTGATATTTGACTAAAGTGATTACTTTTGAAATTTAATTAAAGAAGGTTTCAACTTTGAACGACTCATTGCCTTTTTAAACTTAGCATTGCTTTTAAAACTGAAAACAAAAATTGCCCGCAACCCATGATATGTCCTTTGAATTCCTAACCTCATTTTATAAATGACAATCATGAGTTTCCAAGTTAGTAATTTGTAAAAGACATGAGGGTGACTGGCATTTTGAGTTAGATTGGGTTGTCAACCATCTTAACAGCAAAGCAAAGCTTTGGCATCTATTGTCCTTAATTAGATTGGCTTGGGATGCTCATATATATTTTATTTGGCAGGAGCACAATCAAAGGAAGTTTGGCAGGCCATCTAAAGATATAGAAGCTATTGTTTCAACTATCAGAAGTTACTTTTCGCTTAGTTCAATAACAAGATTACCGTCTTCAGTTGACTCTTCCTCTTCAACAACAGAAATTGTGTCTGAATGTTTTTGGCTTGGTGTTACGGTGCTTGTGTCTCAGTTCTTTCTCTTCTGCTCACCTAAGATGATTGGCAGTATGTCTGGTTGTATTGTGCTTGTCTTCTGTTCTGTCTATAAGGTGGTGTTTTACTGCTGGGTTATGGGGTTCCCCTGTTGTTCACCCTATTGTGTAACTCTGTTTTTATTAATAATTTCTGGCTTAGCAAAGGAAAAATGTGTCTGAATTGGGGACTGGTTCCTTAATGTTGCTTAGTTTGATTGCTTTGCAAAAGTTAGATTTTTCTTGGACAGTTGTAGCAAGTCTAATGCTTTCTTTGGGTTAATAAAAATCATTCATCCAAAGAAATTCTTAACGAAAACCTTATTATCCTTAAGCTCTTCATTATTGTTATACCTAAGTGATCATATTAGCGGCCACATAAGTAGGTCTTACACATGAAAACCCAATTTGCGACGTCGTCATCTAAAAGTTATAAAAACTAGAACCAGACCAGACAGATGATTCACTAGTGAACTCTCTCTACTCTCTTTAACTGCTTACTCTCTCTCATTTACTTGCTTCTGCTATACCTTACTAACTTAACTTGAGCGTCGGGCAATGCCTCAAAATAACATTTTTGGCACACTGACTTTCTACTCTGTGATAGGTCACACAAACTCTCCTTCTCAATCTCCAGTAAAACCTTCGACTATCAGACCAGGAATTACATCAACAATATCAATTCTTCAACTCAACTATTTGCAGTGCAGGAATTTGTTATAAGCCATGGCATGTACAAGAATGACTACGGCTACCACTTTAGCTGCCAAAACTAGAAGTTATATTTCCTAACACAGAAAAATCTTCACAGACCAAGCTCAAGCTAAGATGCCGTATTCCTGTATTAACTGCTAAATCACTACAAAGAAAAAAAAACAACGAAAAGAAAAGAACAAAGCTTCCAGTTCCAGGTATCAAGCTCGACAATCCAAACAAACTTCGATTGTATTTTATTGTCCCTAACAACTATAGATTTGACTATGGCGAGAAAGATTGAAATATTTCCTTTATTATTTTCTTCAACTTTAATCCCATATCATCCTTTGTTTCTTTGCTTCAGCACTCCCACAGACAAAAACAAATGGTTTGTTGTAAGCTTTATTGCTATATGATTGATTTGCATGTAGAATAGACCTTGACTAAACAAAAACATGAGGGCAATACATTCAGGAACTTATATATACTCACTTCTTTAGAATTCCAGTGAATCCTTTCAGTAACTTATTCTCTATCTAATAGAAATAAAACGTCATAATTAAATAGCCAATATTCACATTGATGTGCTAAGCGTTCTGATATAGCCACTAATCCATAGTTAAAAGATGAAGTTATAGAAGACATGCTATGTTTCAATCACCGGTCATTTTATAGGTAGTTTTTTCCTCTAGTAGTCAGCTTGATTCTGTAAACAAGGAAAGTTGTCTAGCCTTCTGATATTTAGCCTATTTTGAGTATTAGCTTAGAATTTATGTTTAGAAGATTGGTGCAGGTAAAAAGATATTTGATGGCTTTGGGGTTGACAAAAGCCACATTGGACAGAGTGATTATGCATATATGAAGACTTTGCCGCTAGAGGCTTTCTCTTACAACTGTCCTTCTCATGCAGCCCTAAGCTCTTGCTCTTTTGAATCCATCTCTAACTAGAAATGTAAGTATCATGTAGAAAAATAGTTTATTCTCATGAATTTGGTCATTTGGAAATTTTACAGGGAAAAAAGAAAACAAAAGCTCATGCTAAAAAAGAAAATTTTAGAGGGAAAAAAGGAAACAAAAAATATTACTTTTTCTTGAGTTTAAGTTTAGGTTTGCTAGCTAATTTCACTTTTTTTTTTTTGTCTTGAATGCAGGAACCGTATTTTTCCAGGAAGAAAACTGATCATTAATGTTTTCTATGCTTTGGACTTGGACAGCACAAAAAATCACAGCTTCCATATGCCATCCGTACCCAATTGAAACCACCTGCAATCCAATATTCTTAAATTCTTGGAAGTAACATCCTAGATCCTACCAGTATGTGTCATCCAGACCTGGATCCTGATCTGATCAAGTTGAATTCTTGGCCATTGTGAAGGTTGTGAAGTTGGATGCTGATTCTTGGAAAGTTAATACTGGATTGCACAGCGATCGCTAGGTAGAAGAAATGGTACATCATGGGTAAAAGGCAGCAATAGGATTTGTTGGCATCTTAGGAACGCCAATTTTGTATATACATTACAAGTTTTGCAATTGTCTTCTCATTCAGTTGTTTTCGACAACTTTTGGAACTTCATGTAAAAAGCTAATTCTTACTCTGCTTAATACTATCACTCAACTCATAAGTCAGTTGTGGAATGACGCAGAAAAGATGTTTACCTAAAACCTAATGCACATGCCTGCAGCAACAATGATTTTAAAGGGAAATGATTTCGTTTAATAAGGTATTCAGACAACCTAAATACTAATGCACTGCATAATCTAAAATTCCTCCAAGCCCAAGCAGGGAAATGATTTCGTTTAATAAGGTATTCAGACAAGGGAAATGATTTTAAAGGGCAATGAATCGTCATTTTCATCATCACTTTGGCCTACCCCGGCCTCATCATCATCATAATCATCACCCGACGCCAGATTTCTCTTCCTTGCTTTCTCTGCTTCTTCCCAGTCCTCTAACTGCCATCCAGACTTGTAATCTCCACGATCATGCATAAACTTACATGAATCTCCCTAACCCCAGTAACCAGTTTCTTTATAGTCATTACAGATGTCAGGGTGATAATCAAATCTTGCTGAAACCATGTGTGGGCAGAAGTCCTAAGAGGTCCATGTGAGCAACCAGCTTTCTAACTGGCAACTGTTTTCTCTCTTTGAAACCCAGCCTTATGATCCACATAGCCATGCATTCCTTTATACTGATGCTAGTTTAGAATGTGGTGCTTCCCACTTTAGATAGAAAGATTTAATTATTGATAAATAAAATTAAATTTTGTGTTAATTTTATTCATATTTTAAATAATTATGTTTGAATAAAAACAATTATCATATGACAAATGGTCATAACTATTTGAATATAAAAAATTATTATTAATAAAGGTCATGATTATATAAAAGGTCATAACATCTGAATAGAAGTTTATGTATATTCATTTATTATAAATAAATATTTCAGTATAATCATTTTCACTGCTTCTAATTGGAGAGTTTGAGGCTTTGTTGTATCTTAAAGATATAATTGCCTTTAAGAAAGTATTCTTCATGCCTCAAATTCAAAATTCTTTTTTATTATTTCTTTTCTCTTATTTATTTTTTCTAACAATTTAAAAAAAATTATGATAAATTTATATTTCGCATGAAGAAGATACAAGGAAAAGAAATTGGCATGATTTGGAGATCAATATTAGGGAATGTTCAAGGTGTCAAAGGATTAATGTTTCTATGGACGAAAATGTTAATTTTCATAAAGATCTTCATTCAAGATATGTATTTTATTTTTGGCATAATTGGTAGTAAAAAGATTAACTGAATGAGGTAACACGTTAACAATTTATTTCATTGGCGTGTAAAGTCAAAATACAATATGCAAAATATTGATAATATTACATAAGTTTATGCATATATTGAAATTGACTCTACAATTGGTTTAATGAATTGTATTATATTTATTTGAAAAATCAATGCTTATAAAGAATAGGATGGGAAATAGTTTTAAAACATAAAAGAGAAATACATGAATTGATTTACGACCAAAAAAAATTATCACTTGCTAGCAAATAACGAATTAAATTAGATTCTAATGGAATGACCGATTGTTTAATTATCATGTCTTGATTATATATAGAACAGGTAAATTGTCCCATAGTTTCTATGAAAACAATCAAAAATGGGTAAAAGAATTTACCATGAGAAATTAGATGCA